GCCCCTTGGGCCCGGCCCCGGGTTACCAAACGGGCTTTCCCCCCCCCCCCCTTTTCCCTCCCCCCCATTGGGCCCCGGCTTTTCCTTTTGAAAAAAAATCCTCCCCCCAAAACCTTTCCCGGTTGGTTCACCCCCTTCCCTTTTACAAAATTTAACCCCCAAACCCCCCCCCCCCCCGCCCCCCCTAAAAAAAACCCCCCCCCCCCCCCCCCCCCCCACTAAAAAACCGAAACGCTTCCACCACGGCAGCTGCGGCCCTCAGCATTCTCGCTCACCAGTAGGGGAGCATGGCGCCGATGACGAGGAAGCTGAAGGTCAGGGGCTGCAGGATGTTGACGCCGCCGTCCATGTTGCTGGCACCCTCGTCGGAAAGACGGGTCACGAAGGCGCCGTAGAGGGCCAGAGATACCAGCGCGGCGCTGCCGATGGCGAAGCCCTTGCCGACGGCGGCCGTCGTGTTGCCCGCAGCGTCCAGGGCGTCAGTCTTCTCGCGAACCTATGCGGTGAGGTGAGGTGGGGTGTGGGTTGTGTGAGTGGGACACGCGTGCAGAAAAATCGTGTCTTGGTGTTGTTTTGCCCAAGGATGCCTTCACGGCCGCCCGGCTGCGTGAAAACGAGGCATGTGTTCCTACATAACAGGAAAAAAAAAAAATCGGGACTTGCCGCTTCCAATTAACACAATCATCCACCGCACAGCTTCAGCGTCAGCACCGGGAATAAAAGCAATTCGATACCGCATACACAATCAATCGGTCATTCGCCTTATAATACCTCTGGGGGAAGCTCAGCCATCTCGGCGATACCTCCAGCGTTGTCGCACACGGGGCCGTAAGCGTCGATCGTCAGGCCGGTGGCAAGGGTGGAGAGCATGCCGATCGCGGCGAGAGCCACGCCTGGGAAACAACGACAAAAACAAGCGCATCCATCAACCGGAGGGAGTCAGTCGCGCGGGTGCGTGGGGGTGGGGAGATGGGATCAGAAAAAGAGATGACCGCACTACGATTCTACACATGAAAAGGATCGGTGCAGGCATGCGCCAGAAATAGAAGGACAAACAGATTGATGTCGACAAAGACGTGACCGATTTAGATCTCTCCAAGTCCCATACACGCCTTGCACGCACGCGCGAAAGAACAGCACAGCATCGAGAAACGCATGAATCGCAACACCAGGCGGAACGCCATAGGGAACCTCCCCAACGATGATGCGCAAGCATAGCTGGGGAGAGAAAATGGTCATGCAACAACGAGGACGGCAAAAACAAACACAGCAGCTGACAACCACAACAACAGTGGCGACGACACACGACCACCCGCTGTCCGCTGCCGCCGCCGCCGCCGCCGCCGCCGCTACATACAACCAACGCGCCGACAGACAGCAACGACAGCAGTGGCGACATCACGACACAACGCACACACCATAGGTGCCGCAGAGCTGGAACGACGTGAAGATGATGGCGGCGAGCACGAAAACGGGCACGATCGTCGACTTGTACCCGAGGGCGAGGCCGTAGATGATGTTGGTCGCGGACCCAGTCTTGCACGACATGGCCACCTGTGAACAGCAACAGCGACAAGTAGAATGGTCGGTCGTCGCGGTGTGTAGGTTGAGAGAGCGAAACAGAGAAGGGGTGGCATGGTCGATGATATTACACCAACAGGATCGAACAAGTATCGCAAAGAGGATACGGCGTTTGCCACACGGATACCACCAGTAAAGGGGCCGGGGCCGTATTCACCGCTCAATACCTACATGCACAGGCAACGACAAACACACGCAACACACTCAGCGATTAACATGCAACAGCAGGCTGCTGTTCTTGTAAACACATTCCACCCCAAAAGCCTTCTGCCTACCTAACGAAGGCATCACAGCAGTCACACTCAGGAACAAAGATGACAAAAAATCGGCCACCCTTCGACCCCAAAAGCCTTCTACCTACCTAACGAAAGCATCACAGCAGTCACACCCAGGAACAAAAATGACAAATAATCGGCCACCCTTCGAAACCGCCCAAGACTTGACCATCGAAATTCCAATTACTTTTCCACCCCCCATCGCAGCGAGAGCACGACGCCTGTCGCAAAGTCCAACGAGTGTCACATACGTACACTTCCTCACCTCGCGGACCGGGGCGTACGAGTGGGACGTGTAGTACTCCGTGACGAGGCCGATGATGAGACCGCCGATGGCACCGCTAATGACACAGACGAAGGCATCCATCGACCCGGCCTCGATGGTGCTTCCGTCCATAGCATCGATCTCAAAGCTAATAGAAAAATCAAAACAAAACAAAATACCGCGAAAGAGGGGGGGGGGGGGGGGGGGGGGGGTTGGT